AAGTTTCGTCGGAACGAATTTACGGAGAGTTAATTAACAAACGGAGACGTAACAATATATATATTTCTAGCAATACATAGAATAAAGTCAGCCTTGAGTTTCCTTCATAATGGAACTTGTACTTTCTCTTAGCAGAAAAGGAACTACTGCATTAAATGTTTTATGAGTATGTATATCAGTTTATAATATTACATTGAAACTGAATATTAGATCAGATTCATGAAGTGCTAAGGGTTAACAATGTGACTCTACAATAAAAATAAAACTTTCAAAAAACTAAAAATTACCTTTCATGTCAGAGAATGGCTTATCAACAATACGAATCTGTCTCTCAGGAAAGACAGGTTCTCCATTTTCTCCACCCACATCAATAGGTAAATAATACATAGCATACTCTTCTTCTACCTCAGAACGTGGATAGTAGAGAGGCATCAGTAGTTCATATATCCCCACATCTACATTTTCTACAGCAAAAACTATTACTTCAAGGTCCTTTCCAAACTTCTCTAAAAACCTTCGCACAGTCCCTAGGAAATTAAAAATCATTTTTACATAAAACTATTCCCAATTGAAAGATTCTTCTTCTGCTTTAAAAATACATACAATACAAAAGGGAAGAAATTATGCAGAAAATGCACTGGCATACAAATATAGCTCATTCATATATAATTATATCACACTTCAGAACTAATAAAAAACACACTTGACCTTATATGTGTTCATTAAACTTAATTACAAATTACATAATGTTAATTAGAAAAATACAACTTAAATACAAATTAAAAAAAACATTTCCACATGAACTTATGTAAACAGCAGCGATATCCCCAGAACAGAGTGACAAATGCCTGTTTGATGCATTAAACTCCAGATTATTGCTGTAGATGGTAGAAATACATTTTATGATAAAACTAAACATTGTGATTTAGATATGTGCATGCCATATCCTACATAGTCCTACTGCTACACATGTATTGTACTAGACTATGACATAACTGTCATAATGTTGTAGCCCTCCACCAAAAGGAGGGTAACACCACCTCTATGTACGGTAATTCTTGTCAGCACTAACACATATTCATAGGCTCATTCTTGATGAAGGAAACAAAATGGACCAGAAATGGGGAGGAAGGGTGGGAATGTTGTGCAGTAAGATAAGTATATTTCTGAAATACATTTTCAAGTAAGGAAAACATTAACTTCAGAAATGCTACTTACCTCTCTGCCCCACTAAGAGCTAGAATTCCACACTGAAAATGGTGGAGGGGCTGGTGCAGACCAATTACAAAGATGAGCTCCTGTTTGAAAAAGTGATACAAAAGCCCAAGGGGTGTGACTTCCACAAGACCAGAGGTTGCATAGTTGAGTAGCACCAGGAGAGGGACTGCATCCTTCTTAAGCCCAATATACTGATACTTATTCATTAATATATTTCACGTATATTACGCAGAGATTTACAGTAAAATACATCAGGTAAATCCAGTGCCAATGGTAAAGTGTTATAAAGGTAGGTGGAATGTTAAAGTGTTAGTGTGACTAGGAATTTTAGCCATTCCCTCTTGATGAAACACTTACATGAAACAGATATTTTAATGATACATGGAGAGAAAAGGAGCTTTCACTTGAGGCAAATACAAGTCCCATCTAGTTGGAAAAATCCATCAGGAAATGCTTTGGAGATTTTGTATTAGCAATGTAAGGATATATATATATATATG